TTCTTCTTCTTCTTCTTCTTCTTCTTCTTCTTCTTTTAAGGATAATAATTAATAGATTAGTATTGTCAGATGTTAGTAACTAAAGATTCGATCCTCAAATTTGATGATCAGCCCACCAATTTTAATGAAGCGCGCGACCATAAAGCCGCTTGGTAGAGTTCACTCTCTTTTTCTTTTTTGTATGCACAAGGACTAAGGTATTTTACTCATTGCCTACTTTCAAGAAAAATTAAATTAAAAAAAAAAAAAAAGGGAAAAGGAGGAAGGAGTAAGGTATTTTACTGAATTCTTACTAAGTTGACTGATTTTGACTAGAAGGGAATTCGATCACGTATCCTAAGATATCAAAACCATTTCGATCATTTCAAGCATAATTAAAAAAGAAAAAGAAAAAGTATAGATCTGATTACAATTTAAAAAAAAATAAAAAGGAATTTGAGAAATTGGGATATTTAATTAATTATAATAATTAAAAATGTAGTAATTAAATAATAAAAATTTTTATTTATCTCTAGTTAATTAATATTCTTTTATCTTCAATTACATAATAAAAAATAATTTTTTTTATTTCTTAACCTGCTTCACTTACGTGTTATACAAATCAAATATAAGTTTTTTTATTTTTATAAAAAAAATATCATTAAATTATTTAAATTATTTATTTAATATATACTTAAATAAACCTTAATATTTAATATATGTTATAATTATTTTTAAAAAATAAATATAAAATAAAAATATATATTAAATAATATCTATAAAAAATAAACAATAAAATTTAAATATTTTAAATTAAAAATTAGATCTATTCAAATCAAATAAAAATATTTCACAAAGTAATTCTTACAATTTTTTTCTTTTTTACAATAGTAGATTCGATAAAATTTAAAGGGCATGAAAAGGATCTATGGAACGTGGATTGCCAGTCTTTTGTTTTTAGTAGGCAAAGCTTGACTTCTTTTTTCGGACGTAGAACTTGAAAGCCGCACACGTTTCAAAAAAAAAAACTTGGAAGCCGGACAATCTACGGGGCAAAATGTTGACATTTTTGTTTTATATTCAGAAAGCAAGTTCACAGGATCATATTTTGAAATGGTCAAGATGAGACAACACTATATTTATGCTTTTGCGTTCTTTCTTTTTCTTAAGGACCAAGGTCTTTTACTGAATTCTTACTAAGTTGACTGGTTTTGATTAGACGGGAATTCGAGCGCGTATCCCATGATAACAAAAGCATTTTACGATTCAAGTTTTTTTTTTATATATAATAAAAGATAATTATTTTTTATTTATTGTTT